CTGCGATGATTCCTTCTGCCTGTTACATACTTTTACACAAAAACATTATACCCTGATTTCCCATTTTCAATGGGTTCAGGGTATAAAAACAAGTAAGAGTTGCTACAGGCCCACAGAGTGAACTGCTAGTCAATACCCTGTACCGTTGTAATAGAAACTTTGAGTCTCCGAGTCTCTCATTCAAGTAAATTTAATCGAAGATATGGGCACCCTCACTTCTATAAAATCTATAACATATTTTTTAATCGAAATAAGATGAAAAAACAGTTTATGTTTTGCTAAATATGGGTATCGATATTAATCGATGGCGATAACATTTGACGGTAGCATTTTATCGACATTATCAATGACAAATGATCATTCATAGCTAAAAATATATTTTGTGGTGCGAGTTCATAGATCGGTTTATCGATACTTATCAGTCGAAAATATACGTTCGATTGCCACAGTATCTAATGTGATTAGTTATAGGTGTATTCTAAATGAAATGAAATGCTTAACAAATATTTATCGATTGCACAAAAAACATACGTTATCTATAATAAAAAGGCATTTACAATTAATAATTCGATATATATCGGTTAGTCTAGCATTGTTATTGATAACAACTTATCAGATAAAATGAATAATATATTAAGCATAAACTGTTATTCACCTGTCGCATTTCTAGCTCCTATGACTGGGCACCCTACGTCAGTTATTGTTAATCAATACAGGGTATATCAACAATAACAATAACAACAACAATCGAAATACAAATGACAACAACGCGAGGGAGCTACAAATTTTTGTTGTTTATTTCGATGTTTATCGGTTAGGGGCTTAGTAGGGTCCGAGCCAAAGAGCCACAGAGCCATAGCCACAACTCGGGTCCAAGCGAGCGTTGCAGGCGGGCAAGTTAATAAAAAATTTGTCGCCGTCTTCGTCGTCTGTGTATGTGCGAGTGTGTGTGCATGTGTAAGCGTGTGTGTGTGTGTGGTTTGTCTGTTTTAATCTTCTTCTAAAGCAGCAGAGAGACAAAAGATTACGATCACAGGAATTTCGTTAAAGATGCTCAAAACAGGTCTTTATATAGTAACTGCCTCCTTCTCTAACAGTCTCGCTCGTCCTATAGCCCTCTCTCTCTCTCTCCCTCTCTGGCTGCCCTGTGATGAGCAGGCAGCCTCCTTGTCTCTGTGTTAATGTTTACGTTGTCAGCTTGTGCCATAAATTAGTTTAGTAAAAGGTTGCGTTGCATTCGGTTTTGCATTCGTGTCTCTCGGATTCAGTTGCTGCCTGCTCCCAAAACTAAAACCAAAGCCAGAACACAGCATCGTGCAGCACGCAAGCCCAGCCCCTACCCGTACCCATGCCCGCACCTTCAGTACCTTCAGCAGCCCCCCTGAAGAAATATGCAGCTGTGCCGCATCGCGAACGCGTCATTAAACGCTACCGTTGAAAGTCCGCTGAGAATAAATTTGCCAAAATGCAAAGCGTAAGCCTCCAAAATATGATGGACAGTGCGATCGGCGTGCGTGCGCTCTTGTGTGGCCAATGGAAGCTGCGCCCCAAAAACTGAGAAAAAAGTAAAATGAAAAATCACAAGCGGCTCACGAATGCCCCATCAAAGTCAAGATTCCAGCAGCTTTGCCTGCTGTAGGTAAGCCATCATCAGGGCAGAGCTAGTGAAGCCCTCATCCGGCTTCCGTTTCACTCTACAACTTTCCTCTGTTCGAGCATCCATGGCATTCCTCAACTTTAGTCGTGCTTTAGCTTTTCAATGATAACAAACGTTCGTTCTTCGTGTCTATTTTACTTTTGTAGACTCACGATAGTCCGCATCCTGCTTCCGTTTCATTCAAAATGTTCGATTTAATTTCTTATTCACTTTCTATAGATATTCTTTTATTTTCATTTCTACTTCTACTTTTTGTGCTTTGATAAATTTCTTCTAGCCGTCTAAAAAAATATATATAAATGCTCTTTTACTTAGAGCAATAGCAAATTATATGTGTATTTATTCTTGTTGCTATGTTTTCTCTTACTTCTCATTATCTCTTGGCATCATATATATCCCACTCTATGTCTCCACTCTATGGAATTTTTATATTTAAAGTATACCGTTATATGCACCTTTGTGAAATTTTCCAAAATTCCACTCCTTTCCTTCTGGGAAATAGGTTGGCAATAATGGTTGGAGAGTTTAATTCATGGGTATAAATACTGTTCGTGTAAAGCTTCTTTATTCCTTATATTTAAATTATGTATTCCTTTAATTTCTAATTATGTATTTAACTTTTTCATTTGAATTTTTTTGGACTGTCTTATCAACTTTCATCATCCTTAACGCAATCTGTCGTTAAGTATAGAAATCTATGAGCTCTTTCAGTGCTGTCTTTATCGGTTATCCCTTCTGGGTCTAGCTACTTATACTAATTTGGCCCACATTGTATCTATGTTCACTTCTATATACGAATACACATTTTCCTTACCTCTGTCATCATCTGTTGCCTAATGTTATTCCTTGGCCTGTCTCAATTAACTGGCATTTCGTTCGTCGGCTTAGCTTGCCTTCTGCCGCTTCTATCGTTGGGTCGCTGGAGCCATTGGGGGCCACCTGCTGGGCGCACCCTCCGAGGCAATTTGTTGGCCATTCGTCACATGGCCCCCAATGGGGCGATTGGGCAATGGCGCCGAGATTGGGAGTGTTGTCAGGCCATCGAAAACCCGGTCAAAAATATTCCCACGCACGTTAAATTCGCTGGCGCAGCTCATGCTGAATGCAAATTATGTAAAATGTGCTGTTTTTTCCCCTGTTTAGTTTTTATTATTTTTGTTATTTCATTTTTTCCTAAACTTTTTTTGTCTTGCTCTGCTTGCATTGCGTCGCAAAAGCGAGCTTTGGGCAATAAAAGTGCCCACCTCAGCGGAACCAGCGCAGCGAGGTGTTGGAGCGATCGGCATTGTTTATAAACAACAACGAAATCGCTCGAGGCTCTTGTATAATACAATACAATAATGTAAAGCCAGTGCGGATAATCCTTCTGCCAGCTTTGGCACATATATCTTTTATATATTTTATTTCATTTGCATCTTTCTGTCTCCCTCTCTCTCTCTCTTTATAGGTTAAACGTCCCAAAACAGAGCACACGGACACACATGAACGCAATCGGTAAGCTTAAATCCAGATACCTAATTGAGTAATTGACAGGATAGCACGAACTAAAGAACTAAGCTTTAGATAGAAATGGGGAATCGGGTGAAAGTTGTTTGCAATTGCAACATTTAACAAGAGGTTTTATTTAAATCAAACAACTTTAAAGTTTCTATAAGAAACCTTTGGCGAAGAGCAGTTTGAGTAAATGAGTTATCAATTGACGAATTCAAGGACTGACTAAGTAATACAAGAGTTATGCGAGTATCTTTTATTGCTTAACTCTTTATAATTATTTGATGACACTCAAACTGTGATTGACAATTCAATTTAATTTTTTACGTTGATATTTATGTCCGATTTGATGCGGACATGATATGTCAGAGAGAACCAGAGATATGGAGCATAGTATCCAAGCTCTAAATTCGGCACTAGCCCTAACTCTAATATCGAAGAGTGGTACTTGGCTTAATAGATCAGCGTTGTATGAGGGTTATATTTGTATATAAATTGCGAAAGTTTGAAACGTGAAACGTGAAAATCCATCTAGCTCACCAGGAATAATAGGTTGAAAACTCTTAGTTTTCATTCGAATTTTTTACAATCAAATGACGAATACATATATATAGCCTTTTCATAGTTTCTTCAAGCTCTTTCTTGGACTTCATTCATACTATTTCGAAGAAATCTGTTTATTTGTATATATTCAATGCAAATATCTAAAACTTCCTCAAGTCCGATTGTCTCAATTAAATGTTTTATTAGTGCTTAAGCTTAATTTTTTGTCCTAATTTATTTATTTTCTAAACATTTATTTATTCAAATACTAACTAGTATTGATCATACAATATTTATTCTTATATCAAATCTTTCACAAGCAGTTACAAAACGGATTTATTTATTTGAATTTCCTAACTATTGTGTCTAGTATAATCTTCCTCAAGTAGATACAAAATAGATACTTTTATTGAACTTCAAACTTTACTATATGCCTTAGTTTTCTATATAAAATCTTGAAATGTAAGACAAACATCGAGCTGAGATCCATTTAGTGCCTGCTGGTCCAGCTAGCACATGTTAAGGGCACTTGTTGCAGCTGCAAGCGTAGACAATTTGTTACAGTTATCTGCCACGTTTTGGGCTGAGAGCTCTCTTCACACTTGCCGCTCGCTCAACAAGTGTCCACGAAATGCGACAAATTTCAATTGCCTCGCATTTTGCCTGTGACCCTCAAGAGATCTTCAAGATCGCCCTCATCCGCCTCACATGCGCCGCTCGGAAACTGCGCAAGAATTCAAGGAATTTCTCGCATGCCTGAATCGAGCAATATATGTATATATGTATGAGAGAGACGAAGAGTGTCAGAGCACTTAACACTTGGCTGGCAGCAAAAGGGGGCGAGGGAAGCGAACCATGCCCAACTACTTAAGGGGCTTAAGGCGGCTTAGCTGGCTGCTCTTAGGGCCTATTAAATGCAGCTCCTTTTGTTGTGGCAACTGCTTAGCCACATTTTCATTTCAATTTCCATTTTCAATTTTCCATTTGCCCAAAAAGAAAAGACTTTAAATACAAATAATTTTGTATAAATATTATGGGCTGCCTGCTGCAGCGCACGCGACGCTGCTCTGCTCCCCGTTCATATTGGGCCCCCTATTTTTGGATGCTCCATGTTTTTTGGTGTCAAATTCTCGTGGAAATTGGGCACTTCATTTTACCTATCTAGTTGGAAAATTATAGGGACAAATTACGACAAATTTGATGGGAGCACATAAAATATGAAAAATGACGATGAGAAAAATAATAACGAGAAAAAATCTAAAAGGGGAAAGTTGGAAAAAGTATGATGTTCTCCATTTAAAGTAAATCTAATGTAATCCGATGCCTTATTTTTAAGCGGAGCAATTATTTCTCTTCTTGTTCGACCTTTTTATTATGATTATAATAGAAAAATTAAGATAAATTTGTGTGAGATATTGAGAGAGGACAGGACATTCTGAATTAGAGAATAGTTTTTACTATTATTACTTTTATTTATTTGTATTAAATTGCGCAAAATGCATGACTTTAAATTGAATAAGTATTTTAATGAAGAACCATTTTCCCATTAATTGCCAATCGAAATTTTGATTTTGTTTAAATACAAAATAGAAATTAATTTTGAAAAGTTCTTTAAACTAACAATTATCTAACCAGGAATTCGATTAAAATTAAACAATATGAGATCTAATAAAATACACACAGGATAGTTCAATTAACAGAGAGAGAGAGAGAGAGTCTAGATACTTGGCGTAGGCGTTCGAACAATTTGATTTAATTGCCACTGGGGCTGAAGGATTGAATTACCGAACCAAAAAAGAACTTGTATTTAAATGATTTTAGATTTTTCATTGCTTTCAATTTGATTTATTTGATTTGAATCTCAATTGGAGTTTTGTTTTTATTGAGCTCGTCTCGTACCGTCTCTCTCTCTCTCTCTCTCTCTCTCTCTCTCTCTCTCGCTTTCGGAATTAGTTTACTTAATGGGTTTGGTAATTGTTGAGCTGCAGTTGAAGAGGAGGAAGAGCAAGAAGAGGAAGAAGCTGAAGTTGTACTCAAAGTCAAAGTGGAAGCAAAGGCAGAGGCAACATTTGTGGCACACATGCTAACGCCTAAACGGGACTTTTGTTGCACGCACATGCTGCCATTGGAATGGGTTTGGGAATGGCAACTGGAATGGGAATGGGAATCGGATTTGGAATTGGGCATTATTTGTATGACGGACCAGCCACTCAAGTGGCTACGCGAAGGCCTTTCAAATGATTTCCTTCTTTTTTTTTTATTTCTGTTTAACGTAGAAAAATATTTATAACACTTGACAAGATTTTTTTTTTGAAGAGCGCGCAGGCGACACACTTGACTTTTTTTTTTTGGTTTTGGTTTTTCGTGTCGGGGGCTTCCAAGCAGACGACGACAATAACAACGACAACGTGCCGTTAATTTTATGGTTGTTTAAAGATTATTGGAAATTATTTTATGAGTTTACTTAACGAGCAAAACGTTTATGTTTCGCCCTCTCTCTTTCGGGCTCTCTGTTTTGTTCTCGCCTGAGCTCCAGTCGGTGGTTGGCTCAAGGATAAGGCAGAGGCAGGCATTAATGAAACATGCTAACCCCTTGCTTCTGCTTCTTATTCTTCTTCTTTTGACCATCGAATAGAAAGCAAGAGTAAAGGCTTCAGATGAGCATTGAAGGCAAGTCCAAGGGGCAGCGTAAGGTGCTTTCAAATTTTGTTCCGCACTTGTTAATGATGTAATCGTTGTTGTTGACTCTTAAGTCTTATCATATTGAGAAGGAGATGGTTCATTCATGATCAATCATTGAATCTATGAATCATGCTATAATAAACTAAAGTTTTATGAATAATAATTTGATATATATTGCTCATATATTGAGTAGTAAATTAGACTTCAGTCACTCAATCGTTCGGTTGCTTATCCTATCTGCGTACAAAACCAGTGAAAATTGTCTATCGATAACTGATATGCATTAGGCATTAGTTTCCACTACACTGTTCAATCAATACATCAGTCAATGTCATCAATCTTTTATGGTTTGCTTTGGAGAACTTTAACTAACTCTAGTATTATTTTGATTACTTTCAGTCTCTGCCAAAGTCAGCAGCAACAACAACAACAGCAGCAACATCAGCATCAACAACAACAACATCAGCAGCAGCAACAACAACAGCAACAACAGCAGCAACAACAACAACAAACACACTCAAACGCCGTGTTGGCCACCAGCAATGGGCCCAGCAGTGCCGGCGCCAGCGTGGGCGTTGGCATTAGCGTGGGCGTGGGCGTGGCGGGTCAGTGCAGTCCCCTAGGTATTCTGCCGCCTCAAATCCAGCCGCTGCAGCCAACAATCGGCCACTACGGCACCAGCACCAGCAGCAGCAGCAACAACAACAACAGCAACAATAGCAACAACAACAATAATCCAAATTCAAACTCTAATTCGAATCCAAATTCAAATCCAAATCCGAGCAGCTGCAGCCTCGCCTCCAGCTTCGCCCAGTCGGCCAGCAGCAGCTTCTCCACATATCAACAGCCCGCGGGCGAGGAGGTGGGCGTGGTGGGCATGTCCCACTGGACGCACGAGTCGGCGCCCGTCAAGTCCGAGTCGCGCAGCCCCAACCAGCTCCACTCGCTGGACAGCGGCCAGTCGGCGGCTGCTGCTGCCGCCGCCGCCGCCGCTGCCGCTGCCAATCTGTACGGCTGTGCCGAGAGCAGCGCCGCAGCAGCGGCGGCCGCCGTGAACAGCTCGGCGGCAGCAGCGGCCGCAGCCGCCGTCTACGACAGCAAACACGACTACTACTACTACAACAGCATGCAGCAGTACACGCCGCCGCCGTTCTACTCCGGCTACGGCACGCCGTATGCGGCGGCCAGCACGGCGGCGGCGGCTGCGCGCGGCGCCAAGATGGAGCCGAGCGCGGCGGCTGCGGCGGCAGCGGCGGCCTACCTGACGCCCAGCTATGCGAGCGCCGCCAACGGAGGCCAGGCCAGCAACAATGCGCAGCTCTACAGCAATCCGTATGCGGGCTACAACAACTTCGGGCAGCAGGACTACGGCGGATACTACAACGAGCAGTACGGCAACTACTACAATCCGGCCAACTACTCGCCGTATGCGGTCAGCTCGCCCAGCTCGAGCGCCAGCCACGGCTTCCACGTGGCCACCGCCTCGTCCAATCTGTCGGAGAGTCCCACCGACACGCACTCGACGACGCCCGTGCACGTGGCCAACCAGTCGCCGCACTCCCCGCTGCCCATCTCAATGTCGCCCAACGCGGGCGTGGGCGTCGGTGTGGGCGTGGGCGTGGCTGGAGGACCGTCCGCTGCTGTGGCCGCCACGCTCAACTCCAGCGGCGGCAGCAGCGTCGGCTCCGCATCCGCACCCAAGTCCACGCCCACGGGTAAGACGGGTCGAGCGCGCGGGCGGCGCCACCAGCAGCCGAGTCCGACGAGGAGCACGGCCTCGGACACGGGCAACAGCGAGGCTGCGAAGCCGCCGGAGCGCGTCTTCATCTGGGATCTGGACGAGACGCTGATCATCTTCCACACGCTGCTCTCGGGCAGCTACGCGAACCGCTACACCAAAGACCACAGCACGCTGATGACCATTGCGTTCCGCATGGAGGAGATGGTGTTCAACATGGCGGACACGCACTTCTTCTTCAACGAGATCGAGGAGTGCGACCAGGTGCACATCGACGACGTCAGCTCCGATGACAACGGGCAGGACTTGAGCAGCTACAACTTTGCCACCGATGGCTTCCACACCGGCACCCCGCCCGGCGCCCCGCCCAATCTCTGCCTGCCCACGGGCGTGCGCGGCGGCGTCGACTGGATGCGCAAGCTGGCCTTCCGCTACCGCAAGATCAAGGACATCTACAACAGCTACAGGGGCAAGTGAGTAACAGCGGAAGGGAAACTTCTCCGAGCGACTCTTACTGATTCGATTCTCCTCTTCCTCTTCCTCTTCCTCTTACAGTGTGGGCACTCTTCTGGGCCCGGGCAAGCGGGAGGCCTGGCTGCAGATCCGCTCGGAGATCGAGGTGGCCACCGACAACTGGGCCACGCTCGCCCTGAAGTGTCTCAGCATGATCGCCCAGCGGGAGAACTGCATCAATGTCCTCGTCACCTCCACGCAGCTGGCGCCGGCGCTGGCCAAGGTGCTGCTCTTCAACCTGGGCAGCATATTCAACATCGAGAACATCTACAGCGCACACAAGATCGGTAAGTCCCCCAGATATACGCAGGTAATCCCTCGACTCACGCTCCAACTCACTTTTCTAGGCCAGGAAACCTGCTACGAGCGCATCGTGACGCGCTTCGGCAGGAAGAGCACCTACGTGGTCATTGGGGACGGCGCCGAGGAGGAGTCCGCTGCCAAGGCCATGAACTTCCCCTTCTGGCGCATCTCCTCCCACAGCGATATTCGTGCTCTCTACACGGCCCTCGACATGGGCTTCTTATGAAAGGCTTATGGCGTTTGCAAACGCGCACAAATCGCTAGCGTTTCGCGTGCGTTTCTCGCGCAGTTTTGAGTACAAAGGAAAAAAAGGCAAAGGAAAAGTACGTTTATTTGTTGCGTTCAGAATCGAAAAAAAAAAAAAAAAAAAAAACAAAATCGAAATCGAAATCGAAATCGAAAATTAAATGAAAAGTACTTTAATTTATTTATGTATATGTGTGTGAGACAAAACTGTAAACCAGCGCAAAATAATTTAATTATTTTGTTAACAAACCAATTATTCATTAATGCCAAGACTTTATTGTATTATATAGATTCTTTAAATTTAACCAACGCAACAATTTTTCAAGCAGCAGCAAGCGGGAAATTGTTTAATTTAATAATTGATTGTATTGTAAATTAATGATTAACTTTGTCCAGACGACAAAATACCCTATGAATAACTATAAATATATACGTATCTAGCACATTAGCGTAGACAAACAATGGAATGGCAGAGAAGAGGAGGTGGGATGAAGGAGTGCGGACGGTCAGTAGATCGAAAGTAAGCGGGAGGAGATCAAAAACCGGAGCAAGCACAGCAAGAGCAAAAGCGTTGTCTAACGGTTTTTTAGTTTAAAATCAAAGAAAACAACTTAAATTTAAACAACGTAGTATTCAAATTTCAAATAACTATTATAGCTGCATATATTAAAATTATATTTAAAATATAAAAACAAATAAAAGCAACAACGCACTGTATTAAAAACAACAAATGGTATATATCTGTTTAATTTCATTGTGACTCAATTCTAATTTTTATGATTTCAAATGTACGCGCGCCGTTGATGTACTTTCGTAGCAGTCAGCTTTCGTCTAGTCTCAGTGTGCACTGCTTGACCTGCTTTGTTGGTTCGAAACCCAACTATGATCTAAATGCAGGCGCAGTCAAATTCAACTCAGTTCATATACGTTTGAATTACAATTGTCGTTAAAATACACAATATTTAGAAATAGATTTAATTTGTGAGTGTACTGCAGTAGCAGCTCTAAAATTACACCAAGAGTTATCTCAGAAATAAGTATGCAAAGTTTTTGGTTCACTTAAGCAGCAAGCAAATGGTTGAAAAATTACTAACAAAAGGAATACAGCTCAAAATTAGTTTACGCCATTTTGTGTGTAATTGAATTGATGAAGTAGCAAATGCATTGGCAATAAATCAAAGTAAATCAATAAATAAATATTGATATAAATATGTTTGGCGTTACTAATTAATGTTGTAGTAAATTTTAATGTTAAGTAGAGGAATTAAACATCTACAGTATGGTGGGATCAATCTAATACTGTTGGATTTAAAATTTTGAGCTGTTGTACGGTTAAATGAATTTGTCCTGTATCTTTCGTTGATTTTAAAAAAATTCAAAGTATATTGAATAAATGAACATGAATGAATTGTAAACTGTTGATGTGGACGAATATGTTTTTGATATTAAATACCATAAAGATTGCTTCCTGGCATTCTCTGCGCGTCACTTACCCACGCTTTTCAAAAAAATGAAGTGCAGAAAAAAAGGACAGGGACGACCCTAAATGCACTTCAAACTGAAAAGGCAATTTTCCTAGGCTCAGCCCCGCCCAATTACTAATTGGAACCTCACAGCTCAATTAGCTAGCCTCACATGGTGCCGAGGAACTTGTTGCAAGGTGTGAAAAAAAACAACTCGAAAGAGTTTAATTGAAAATCGTTGCAGCCCCTTCGTCCCAGCCTGTGTCTTAAATCTCTAGGCCTCAGCCTGACGAAATCTCTGGCCGAGTCGTGCGTCCAGCCGAAGAAGTCGTTAACTATGATTTGTAATCTGTGCAAAAGGCACAGCCGCTGGGGTGGGGCGCTCGCAGCTATAAATGAGGATGCGCTCGTGTTGGATAATGATAAATTTCGCATGACGCGTTCTGTTGTAAAATTTTATCGCCATCGCTCAAATCAATTTTTATTATTTTATCGTCGACGCCTGCTGAAAGCAGCTAAAAAAAACAACAACAAGAAGACAACATCTTGTATGGCCTGCGTGGAGAACCCATTGAGTCCCATCTCATAACTAAGCTCCACTGACGAGGCAATCCATTGGACAGGACTTGGCCAAGCAGGCCCAATTCTCATGCTCATCCGCATTCCGTGGCGGGGTCCTTCATAGTTCTGCCCTCCCAAGCCAGGCCAGAACAATAGACCGCAGCGTTAACAATGCACAAATCATTATCAGTAATTATGCATTGTTCGCGGCGCAGGAGGCAGGACTGTGGCGAGTCGGTGGCTATTGCATAAAGGGTTAAAGGCAAACCTTGGCTGGACTGCCTTTTGATTGATTGCTTGATTACAGTTGGTCTTGAACTGCCCTCAATCTGTATGCACATATCTCTCCATATATATGGTATTTAAGCTGCTCTCACTTAAACAATATTTGTATTCTTTGTGTACTGACTGGAAACTCTTAAATTTGCTCTCCTTTGCTTACATTGATTTTGTATTCATTACATTTTATCACCAACACCCAAATCATTGTGCTTGAGTTCTCCGAATTTTCCCATTAGTTTGCGCAATTAAATTGCTGCTAATGCAATTTGTAGATATATATATATATAATTTAGCAGAAAATCTGAAGGAGTCTAAAGGAAAGTGAACTGCAGTATTTACGAGGAAATTTACAAATTAACTGTTAGACATCCAATTCAAGGAAAGCCAAGCATACACATACATAAATCACTTGGAAATCTCTTGAGGAGAGGGACAGGGGCGGAGTGAGGTGTGCATGCAAACGGATTTTCCATTTTGATGCAATAGTTTTAGCAAGGAGCAACAAGCCAGTGGAGTTTCCCTTGAAAACTGCATACGAAAATAAATAGATGTGAAATTAATATTGAGTGAATGAACTACTAACTCTAGCAGAATGGGAAATATAATAAGAAGGAGTGATTCACTCCACTTCCATGCCCAACTGGGGAATATAAACTCTATTTACTGCGCATTGTTATACCCATTGAACCCATTGAAAATGGGAAATCAGGGCATAATTGTTTTGTTAAAATGTATGTAACAGGCAGAAGGAGGCGTGGCAGACCCCACAAAGTATATATATTCCCTATCGATTTAGCCTTGTCCGTCTGATTGTCCGTCCATCTGTCCACTTGCCCTTTTACCTAAAACAATTTTAATCTTACAAAAAATATTTTAATTTGTATGTATTTTTGAGAATTAAATATTATTATACATTGATATATTAATGAGAGCTGTCTAATGATAAGGGATGAGCTATTCGGCAATAATGAGGTATTTTTCAAATCTTTTACAGAGCCCCAGAGTAGAATTCATTTTCTGAAATATTAAAACAATTAGCGTTTCATTTAGAATATATATTCAATGAGGAGGTATCACAACTTGCGGAGCTGCCCTCGCTGTGGGGGCATTGCAATGCTCAGCGCAGTACAAGTTGCTGGCGTTGGGTCATAAATTAAACTGCATTTGGCTATTTTTGTGGTCATTAGGCGCGGCTGCAGTTTGTCTGGTTGCTGTGTTCTCTGTCAGTTGGTCCTGCTTCCTTTTGGACTACAACAACAACAACAAGAACAGCAACAGCAACAGCAACTAAGACAAAATGCAGCGCAAGTCTTAATGAAGCCTAGCTTTAAGTTCTAGCTGAGTTATGTCCGGGCTGACTTGAGAGTTCATACGGAAATGGCATTATGAGTTATGCCTGTTGCCTGTTGCTTTGCTATAGGATATGCGCCCACTCTCACTCTCTCTCTTACAATAACTCCTCTCTCTCTCTCCCCAACTCTTTGTCTTGGTCTGTCTCGTTCTGAGCGTGAGCTACAGTTCAATTAACATAATTAATGTGCGTGTCTTTCAGGCCAAGAGCGCTTTGATGCCGCTGTTTCTGGTCTTGCTGTTGTTGTTATCGCTGTTGTTGTTGTTGTTGTTGTTGTGGGCAAGTCATTCTTGCATTTAGGGCCTGCTGTCAACATGTTGCGCGTGTTATTACAAACTACACTGTTAACTGCTAAGAAGCATCACTAAAACTGTAATTATGAGGTGTAAAACACAAATTCTTACAGTGTGCAGCGTTATTGCTTTACACTACCGTTAAATTATGCAAAAACTTAATTAAAATCAGCAATTAAAATTAGCATAATTTTGAATTTGTATTAGTGCTGTCTTAGCTCTAATAATATTTTTTCGTTTATATAAATGTTTAATAATTTTGAAGCCTTATTAAAACTCGCAAAAAATTTTCCTTATTTTATAAGGGTTTGCCTGATTTCGTTTTTGTTTTAATTTTTAGTTTGAATATTTTTTAATTTTAATTAAATTTAACTTTACATAATATATTGAATGTTGTTGTTTGCATGAAGCATTCATTCACTGTGTACTTTCCTTTTTTATTTAGTGCTTCAATAAATTCATATATATAAACTTATATTTTAGTAAATTAATTTTATATATTTTTTTTTAAAGGTTAACTGAAATTTTCTTTAATTTTGATTTTCGTTGTATTTTCTATTCTCATAATATATATTTTATTTATCATATATTTATATTTTTATAATGTTCGAATTAAAAAATGTTTCTCTTTATACATGCAAATACTCATATATATATATATATATATATATATATATATATATATATATATATATATATATTTATAAATACAATATTTATAATTTGAATTTAAAATCACTTCATTTTCCGATTTGGTTCATTTTAAACTAAATTTTTCTTCATAAATGTATTGTTTGTCGTATAGACAGTTGGATTTCTATTTTGATAGTTATTTACATCGATTTTTGAATATGATATATAGATAGAAATTTACCCTTTGCAATTTCCCGCAGTGCAAATTTCGCTTTTCACTCCGACAATTTGCGTTGGTTCAGTTGGTGCCACAGTTTGCACCTAAACACTACTCACGCTATGGACAATTAGCCAACACTAGACGGTATGTATAATGTCTGTATATGTATAGCATCTTCAGCCTCACTCGAGAGTGTGTAACTCTTTCGCTCATTTAACAACCGGTCCAATTGCTTGCCTGCTTAATGATTTGGCCCCAATTACAGACCAATTGTCTGGCCAGCTCGCTGGCTGGAGCATTTCTGTGTTCTTGGGAAAGCTTCGTTTGCACCAATTATGTTGGTTATGACTTCGTTTCAAGGCCAACTTGGCTCAGGTTGGCCTAATCGCACATGACACAACTGTTGCGTAACTCTTGAGCTGCTTTTCGAGGTTATATTTAAAAGGCATGCTGTAAACTCATGTTGTTAACATTTTTGTAAATTATAAAATACTAATATTTACTTTTTATTTTCAGTACAGACCAGAAGCATCAATTTAAGCTAACTGGGAAAATAATATATAAGAATTGAAGAACATATATAGTATTATATGGGAAATCAGTTTATTCACTTAATGTATAGTTTGACAACAAAATATTAATACCGATTATAAATATGAATTTTCTAATGTATAAAATGTTTATATTGCCTTAAAATACTTTACAATAAATTAGTTAAGAACTTTCTTCATTAATGTTAAATCGGCATATAAATATAAAATAAATTCACTATAGTCTATATTTGAATACCTGCCAGGCATTTATGTATTTCTTCCATTTAATTTTCCATTTGGTACTCGCCAGATATAATCTAAATTGACATCTTCATGTTACATCAGCTGATAAATATACATATTTGCTCGGGAGACATTATTTAAACTCCCAACTTCATGTTAAACCAGTTGATAAATATGCGACTGTTTTGCAAGCAGCTGACAGTAACTTATATCATTCCTTCAACTTATTCGCCTGCTCCTGTGCGCATCTGCATTGAGGTACTTATACAGTTTAATGTGTTTTCCCAAGCCACTTTACATACAGCTGGTAAGGCATAGAATTTGTGGCCACCTACTTAGGGAAGTTATTGTGGCACATGGTAAAGTTTATCCGCCGAGAGTTGTTCGAAAGTTTTGATTGAGACAGTTTAGCACTTATTTATTTACCATTTGATGACTGAGCTGCATGCAACTGGGAAAGTTTTGGTGCGGGGAATGGTTGGTGCACGAGTGCAGCAGGCACTAGAGTCTAGAGGCTACACTTGAATGCTCGAAGGCGACAATGGCAGCAGCTGAGGTGTTGACAGCTTAAGCAGCGAGCAGCCAGCAGCGAGCGGCAGAGGCATGTGTGTGAAATATGATATGCTCATTAAGGGCTGCCCTCTGCAAGTGATCCAGCCCCGCTCCCAGGCCCAAGCCCAGGGCGCTCTTTGCAATTGCCCTGGGGGTGGGAGGCAGAGTGGGGGCGCGGCTGGCAAGTCAAGTGCATAAATAAATGGTTGGCGCTCCTGCTCGCTCTCTTCCCTTTATAAGAGAGACAGAGACAGAGAGAGAGGGAGAGAGATGATGATGATTATGGCATTGCAGCGTTAAGCGGCTCGAAAACTGGCGCACAGCTGCGTCCCCGCCATCTGTGATATATCATTTTAAGGCTCGGCGTCTCTTATACCTGCGCCCCGGCGAGGACGCATGCAGCTGGCGAACGAGTGGAGGCGAGCGCAGAGTGAGAAAGTGTCGCCCAGCCGCCCACCCAGTGGCAATCAAAAGGCCACAAACCGAGCGAGAAATTAAAGCAGTAGGGCAAATGGGCAACGTGAAGCAGCTCAAAGCGAAACAAGTTAAGACGTCGCACATTCAACTAGTTTCGTTTTTGTTTTATGCAGGTCTGGCTCGTATCACTTTATGCTGCAATATCATGTTTATACACTGCCATGAGCTACTCACTTGCATGCTAAAGTCAGCAGCCAGGCTGTAAGTGCAAGAGGTGCGTTATTAAACCAGCTATTCAGCTCTATTGGTTGGACTTAAGTGCACTTCAGGTCTACATAAAACTCAAATGGGCCTATCCTAATTGAGTGGCTTACACAGCTCCAAGAGCTGGGTAATTGCATATTTCATTTGCAACCACGTTGTAAGTACTAGAAGTATCTGTTCAGCTGACTTTATGAGCATAGTTAATAGTCCACATATATTTATGTTTGGCCTACAGCTGGAATGTTTATACGCTGTTGAGTGCAACTAACACCCATGTGAAATTTGCAGCCAACTTTGAAATGAAGGCAGAATTATTAATATCTTAACACTCGATTCGGCTGTTAAGTTGTTAAATAATCTTGTTATCCTATCTTGAATATTACTGTTAGCACGGTCATCTAGTGCCTGGTTGAGCATATTGAATTTGCCATGAGTATATAAAAATAGTGCGTAATACTTGTAGCACAATACCCAAGGAAATCATATAAGATTTATACCTATATATCTTATATCATTTACTTGTACTACAATCTTTACTCAAGTACATTTCAAATGTTATCCTCTGATTGTAAATGTACCCCTAAGCCATACAAAGACATTCGTAAATATTAAGTTTATTTTTCTAATAGCACTTTAATAAATAATTGCGTTTGTTTTAAAGATAAAATGTTGGCTAAATAAAATTTTAAAATTTAGTATTTCAATGCCACAATCGCTGAAGTATAAAAAAATCGAGTCTACAACTAAATATATTGGAATATTCACAGTTAATTATCATTATTTTTAGATCGATTATTTGTATCATAAATTTCATAGAGTTCTTAGAGCATTTGCGATTCGTTGCAGCGCAGATCGTCTATGATCTCTGAAGTCTTTTTATTTATTTTGTTAAACCCGTTTGTTTTTATAGTGCGTGTCCAAGCGGCATAATAAATCACTATAACGCCCACCTATGCGAAACTCAGATCAACGATTAAGTCATCATCATCAACTGCATTCGAGCAAAGAAAGAGAGAACGAGCGAGAGATAGAGAGAGAGAGAGAGGGAGCGAGGGAGTGGGAGAGAGCCCTGGCCACGAGCCAGTGTTGGAAACAATGCGTCGTTGTCGTCGTCGTCGTTATGTTGATGTTAATAATGTTGTTGTTTTTGCTTAAGGCTAACTCGAGGTCAGCCTTGAGTTTGGGTTCGGGCTTAGGCGCCAAGCGCCATGGGGCCGAATCATTTAAAATCCAATAAAGATGTTATCTGCCAGACCAAGCAATGAAGTCATTTACAATGTAAGATTTTGTAATGTTAAGAACAGGAACCCCACTTCATTCTGCTGTGAGCTTTAAAGAAGGGAAACGCGACTGTCGGTTGCCTGGAAAACTGCAGAGAATGGAATTAATATGGAAAATGTTCAAGAGCTTATCTTCAAACAATTTTAGAATTTTCATATTATATTGAATAATGGAGGATCCATGATCCAAAAGTAATACCTTTTTTTCTTTCATTTAACGCAGATTTATAGATACACATAAAAAACTTTTTAACATAGTATATTCTGTCCACTTACAACACTGGTGTGATTACTGTGTTGGTGGATGAAGTATGATATTCGTATGCGGTGGTGAGTGAGGAAATTCATCGACATTCATGATAGATAACAGTTTATCTATATGTGAGTAAAATATGAAATTAGTATTGGGACTAGTGTGGAATAGACGAAGTCTAAATGACGTAAATCTACTACATTATTATTATGTAATGAAGTTTATGTAGCTGACTCTATGAACGTGGTCATCTAATGGGTAATGAAGGGTTGTGTAATTCATGTAGATATTGTCTTTTCGGTCTTATGGATGAGTGGTTAGTGTCAAGAGAACGGGGTTGAGCGTATGGGTTGGAGTGAGTGTCGTGCCTAATGTTTTTTGTTTAATTGAAGTGCCTTGAATGATGTTTTTGACGTGTTCCATATTGAAGTTCCCTCATTCCTGACATAGGGGTACCCTCCTACGGTTCTTCATTCAGTAAATTGCATTTTTTTATGAGCTTGCTGATGCTGTTTTGCAGAAGGACAAGGTATAATACTTTTCGAACGGGTTCAGCTTTGAGCTAAACATCAATTAGTCTTAAAAATGAGTCTTAAAAATTAATTTAACTTCACTCAAACAGAATCAGTCATTTGCCTGAAAAAATTAACGCCAAGCACAAACCAACACGAAAATGGATGATGAGGACGAAGGGGACTTCTTGCCACCGGCAAACACTAATACTTTTGCCGTACCCAGGGAGCCGGAACTACTAGTGGAATATGCGCTGTACAATCCCTCGATGGCCACCCGGCGGCTGCACAGCGAGCGTAATCGGCTGATCTACACGGAGGCCTTCATCGAGAACGAGCGCCTGGGCACGCTGTCCGATCTGTGTGTGCGAGCGCTGGCCAAACTGGGCTGTCGCTATATTCCGCCGGAAGTGCGGCGGAATCCGTTGAAGATGCGCATTTTCTACGATGCATTGGATATTAATATGCCGCTTCAGGACTGCTACTTCGTAGAGGACTTACGTTTCTGGCGTCGCGTCGTGCTCGCTAAGAGCTCGAACAAGTCGCTGCCGCTAAAGAAGATCGACGAATACGACTGGAAGGGCAATGGAGTGAGCCTCAAGTACGTGGAATTGGTTGAGGCCTGTCCGGCTGCCTATTGGCCGGAGCAGAAGATGGCGAGCCTGGGCCAGTTGGTGCGGCCCTATATGCGAACCCTGCACATCAAGCATCTGCAATCGCTTACGGACGACGCCTTCCAGCACTTCGTGGAAAGCGAATCGGAGCTGGACGTGACGTCCGAGGAGTCCGGCATGTCCGAGATATCCAGCGATGAGAGGTAAGTCGATGCCTGAGCCAAGTTGGGTTGTGTGCTAAGCATTCGCTCTAGGGACACTCCGGAGGAGGGCGAGGAGGAGGGTGAGGAGGAGGAGCAGGTGATGCCGGCACAGCCTCCAAGTAAGGCTCCAAAAGCAACTGGCTCCTCAGTGCGCATCGCTGAGAACTTCAAGGTGGCGATGATCGAGCCGAAAGACTCGTCGACTCAGGTTGGCCTCCAACAGAGGTCGCCCTCGACCATCGAGTTGGATCTGAAGCGCAAGCAAGCGCGCGCGGCACGCAATGCAGCGCGGCAGCAGCTGCGCGAGCTGCGGGCGGAGAAGCGAGCTGAGCACGAGCGGCGCAAGCGGCAGCGTTCGTTATTGCGCAAAAAGCCCGAGCCGGAGCCGAAGCCGAAGAAGAAAAAGAAGAAGGCCAAGGCAGGGCCCGTCGATGATGTCTTCAACATGGATGTGCCGCCAGAGCCGCCCGACGGCGAGGATAAAAAGCAAGATGGACGCAACATTGAGAAGCTGCTGCGACGCATGAAGCGCTACGACTACCCAGCCAAGCATTGCCATCACATTGACCTCAGCTTCGTGCGCTACTTCGATCAACTCGTCTCGCTGACCATCGAGTTCCTCGGTCCCGAGATGGGGCGCCACTACCACAAGCGGCACATGAACTTCTCCTACGACGACATGGTCCACCTGGGCAAGGGACTGCAGCAGTTGCCCCAGCTGAAAGTGTTTCGGCTGAGGAACAGTCGCATGGATCACATTAAGCTGTTGATACTGGCGCGAGTCCTCAAACAGCTGGACACGCTGGAGGTGGTGGACTTTGGCTACGATCAGCTCACCGACCAGAGTAAAGTGGCCATCGAAATGCTGCTGGAGCGGACGCACATGCTCAAGGCGCTTGAGCTGGAGTACAACAGGCTGGAGCGCACTGCCATAGTCTCTATCGGCCAGGCGCTCAAGTACCATGCTATTCAGAATCCCGATGCCGCTCCCCTGGAGTATCTGGGCCTGGCCCACAATCCGCTCAATGAGAACGGCTTCTCCTCGCTGGTCAACGACATCATCGGCACCAAGCACGTGCAGGAGCTGAACATAAATGGCATCGACACCGTTGCCGTCCGGCTGGCACCGATCATCAGCACTCTGCTGCGCAAGCACAGTCCCCTGCGTAGCCTGGACATGGCGGCCATTAAGCTCAACTCGGATGCGGGACACATTGTGATCTGCGGCCTGCAGACGAACCACAAGGTCACGCACTTCGACTGTCGCGCCTGCTGCATGGACGAGGAGCAGGAGTACGAGGCGGACATCATAGTGCGGCGCAACAACTTCGAGCTGCAGCATACGTACTTGGGCGATGAGACGCAAACGGAGGAGAGCATGCTGAAGTTTGTGGCCGGACTGCGGCATCCCATTTTAATGAAGATTGACTACGAGATGGCGAGGCGCGAAGAGTGCATCATGAATCGACGCTGTGAAACGTCCAGTGAGAAAGTCGCCACTGAAGAGCAGGGGGAGGAGCAGGTGCAGGAGGATTTCGATATTTGGACCATGTTCGGTGTCCAGAAAACTAGTGTCCACGAGAACCTCGACACCCAATCCGAGACATTCTCGAATCGCAGCGATCGCACATTCGTCTACAACTCGAATGCGTTCAATCTGCAGCAGATCCGCGAGCATCTGTATTTGCCGGGTCCCGAGAATCGATACTTCTACTTCCAAAAGCAGAAGGAAATGTTTAACAATTAGTGGAGATAGATGTGAATCGGCTATATATGGAGGTATTTAGATTTATTTAGATTTCAATATGTAGAGTCTTATGACAATATAAAGGGTCTACAGAGGGTAGAGTAGAGTAATATGACAAAATTAAGGGTGGGTTGTACAAAATTGGGATACGTATATTTCTGTAAGGGTATATAAAATATACCATGAGGAAATATAGGATCTAAATGGAATATGAAATATATATCTTGAGAATGGTATATAAAATACAGCATATAAAATATACACAAATAGCAAGTTTAATGGCAAAAGATGGTGTATGGAGTTGGGTTATGCGAGCCATAAAAATATCAATAATATATTCCCCAGATTTATCATCAAATTTCTGGCAACTAATTTTTTATTGTCGTTGAATAGGCATATCCGTTATTATAATCTTTCGGGGACAAGTCGACGTTAGATGAAGTTTCCGGACCTTCATTGGTTATAAATTATTTAACTCAACCTAACCGAATTACTGCCTGATTTGATCCACAGAGAAGGTAAGGGCGCCCTCTCTATCCCGCCTCTCTCTGCATGCTTTCTGATTACAGCTTACTCCAAGTGGTTGACAGCTCTAAGCAGCCATGACTAGGCACTTCTCGCTGGACACACCTGTTGTCGCCAGCAATCTAAGCGTGCAGTGAGCCAACATATTTGCCATATAGACTTTCCTTTGAGCCACGTTTGTCGCACTGTTTTTGAAGTGCTTCCGCTTTTGGTGATATGCGAAATCAATTGAAAATACAAATACACAAGCAAAGCAAACATAATGAGAAAGAGTAGATAGTATATACCAAATAATATATAATAGTAATAGTAATAGTAGTCGTCGTCGTAGTCAGGCAGGAAGCACCGTTAGCATACACCCACAGGCTAGACTTGCCCAAGATCGTGTGAATTTATTGCTTAATCATGCGCCTTTTAAGCCTCACTATTCGAAATGTAAATAAATGCAAACGCTGCTGCAGCTTTAAAGTCTCTGCGCTCAATGTTTCCGATTCTCGGTTCCTCGTTTCAGCCTCCAGGTTCCAGACGTGTGCTGTGGCTTTGCCCAACTGGACACATTCACTGCATGTGCGTGTATGTATGTGTGTGTGGCGGTTCGCCAGGTAGGCGTTCTCAAACTACAACTACAACTAACACCACAACTACGACTGCAACTGCGACTGCATCTCCGAGTAGCTGTTGGGCAAGTGGGTCGAAAACACAGCGAAAAATGGGGAACAACATCAAATAAATTTGAGCCAAATTTTAACATTTCTCTTATTTTCACTTTCAGCGCCTGCCTGCGTTCGAAAAAAAACTTAAAAGCTTATGGGATCCAGTTCTATATACCATATCGTATATTCATTTTCTTACCATGCATATGTAAATATTTTTAAAACCTTTTATTTATTTATTTTTAGTTCCAAATTATGTATATTATTTCAATACAGATTTAGTTTTTTATTTATCTATAATCTTAATTTTAATGAGTTTTGTAATGTCTCCTCGAAATTGAATTTTCTAAATTTCATTCGATTGCTCGAAAGTTTTCACTGTGAGCTGATGGAACTTTTGCTGTTTGTTTTAGTTGCTGCGTGGGCGGCCTTACTAGTGAAGCACTGCAATTAATACGAGACACATGCAACAGCAGCAGCAGCGGCAGCAGCAGCGGCAGCAGCAGCAACAGCTTGCTGCCACCCACCCACACGGTGGCAATAAAACCCGTTGGCAGGCATTAACTAATCCGAATTGTGCTTGGCAGATATTTCTCAATTTTGTATTTTTATTCTGCGAATGCAGCAAAGTGGAAGTGCATTTTATTAAATATATCGCACAACTGTAATGTGATTATGTTTATAATTGAATTATTCCGGAGAACTCTTCGACTCAGTTTCCTACCTGTGAAGCTCAAGGGCTGCAGTTCAACAATCACCAACGCAACTTGTTCGAAGCTTAACAGCGGCTGCTGTTAACAAGGCAAACAGCTGTTATGATAACAGTGCGGTTCTGAATGCTCATCTAGTGTGCTATTTATTCAACTAATTGGCTATTTAGAAAGAAAAGTATATATTTTGTACATTTATTATTTCAGTTTATTTAATTTCATATAAATATTTAATAATCTAATTATAATTTGATTATATATCAGTACATGTACTATAACATTTATTTGATAAGAATCTTCTTGATTAATACTATTATTGAAGTCTGGTTTGTTTTTAAATATTTATTTACATATATACATATGTTTCTTAGTCACTTTTAAATTGTAAGTAACTATTTGCTCATTCATTTGATTCTTATTGCATTCCTCGCGAGTATAGTATACAAATTCATGGTCCGATTTGAATTTACTTTCAACGAAAGCGGTTTGGCTGCCACCCCCGCTCAATTGTTAACTTGTTTTGTTGTTGTTTTGAATCGAACCGTTCGGTATGGCCTGTTCAGCTAGCCGTCTCGAGCTCTTCGAGCAGGTTGCCAGCGTGTTCGTCAGTCAACAAACGAGTCTCGACGCGCGCGGTTCACGAATCGCTTGCTCACAACTTGGCTAAAACCGAGCTGACAGCCAAAACTTGGTTCTCTGTGTTTATTTGCTGCGCTGTATTGAGTAATGCTCAAGATAATCATATAAAAATTAAAAACAAATCGTTAGTTAACATAAGAAAAGAAGTTAAGTTAAATTTTGTACTGCAAATATCTGTGCGGAAAATAAATATATATGTGTATGTGTTCGATGGGCCTATACTGAGATCGGGTGTAAGATTGCAGTGCAGTGTAAAGTGAAGTCGAAGGCGGAGTGGAAGTGGAGTGCGCTCCACATCGTTTATAGAACGTGCCAAGCGCAAACAGTTCAACAAATTCATTTGCTATAGGCCACGAAATCAACATGAATTTCCAGCTGTTGTTCAGCATGCTAATGGAGTTGTAAAAGAGAAAAGTACGTACAAATCACATGAGACTGCCCAATATACTCGTTATACGCTATGAACAGATAAAGAGAGAGCTCGACTTTATACAAATGAGGGTATTGCACAATCTACATTAATAGGAAAGTTCTTAAATATATAACTAGATTCGATTCTCTTTCAAAGTTCAAACCAATATACTCGTTTTTCAATCGTAAACAGCGTGCATAAGAGCTGTGGCAAACTGTGATAAGTCCCTGCTTAGGGTTGGAGCTTAACTCTAAGCAGATTTCATTTTCACTTGAGCCAAGAGGTGTTAAAATCTTGTGACTGCACACTTGAATGCATATGCTGCATATCTATGTATATGTACATACATATATGTACATATGTATAATGTATACTCGAATTTGAAGATTCATTCATGGATGCTAATTAATCGATTAAATATTAGCTTACTATGTTATGTGTGCATAAGTGGGTCACAAAATAATTAGCTGCAAAACTGAATGAATTCGATTTGTTTGCCAGATGCATTTAACGAGCAACAGCTGGCAAAAGTTTTGCAAGTGCTACTCCTCTTCTTCTTCTAGTTTTTTTCTTCTTCTGTGTGCATTTTTATATAGTTTTTGCAAATTTCAGCACTTAAGGTAAACACTTGAATGTTTACGAGTTTAGATTGTTTTTGCATTTTAAAGATCTGCAATTTCGACTTGATTTATGTCGAGGAGTGCGGGGTGAAAATGAGTAACGCGAGGAAATACGCTCTGAATATTCAAGATGCATAAACTGTAATGCAAGCTAAGTTATTGAACTAAATTATTGGATATTGGATCAATTGACTAATCGATGGCAAAGCTAAGCCAACTGAATTTGCATTAGATATAAAAACTTTGAAAAACGAATCTTAAATTTTCTATTTTTGCTATTAGTTGTTAGAAACTTGGAAAACTGGGAAACAGCTGTACAAGTACTTTAATTTCGAATGTAATTCGAAGTATTCATAGCCATAAAGAGAAGTTTCAAGGAATACTTTCAACATATAACTTTGTATATTTTGTAGGGTAGCCTACGTTCGATAATCCCTTTCATAATGAATTTACTGTATGCTATTCTCGGCTTCTATTTGTTTCAACGAGTCCTGCTGACTTTGTTATTTGGTATTTCGATTTTCTCTGCTGCTGCCAATGCCAATTTTCTCCTTGCTGCATTCGTGAACGGGCACAGATTTGTAATTTGTGTTTATAATTAAAAAGTTTGCTTACGTAAAAGTGTACTGGCCGCAAATGCAACAAGTTCGTTTGCTAACAACAGTTCTCTCACATCAGTCAAAAATAGTTATTACCCGCAGTGGGGCCATAAAGCTTACTACTTTATGGAGGAAGCATAGCAGCTCGGAGGCGTTGGCTGCACAGTAAACAAAAATTCGGATTTGTGGGAACAAAATCATAAAAAATATGTGAGCGATAAAAGCGAATGTTTAACTATCGTTTACATTTAAGGACTCTCAAAAAGTGTGCTAAAAAGCAGATAAATCTTCAAATGTAAAAAAAACTTTCGGAAATTGTCTCTAGCTTTTGCTTTCTTGCTCCGAGATACAGTGGGCTAGACGATTCAGCAGTTCTTTTGGAATATCAGTATTGATTTTATACTGAAGTATTTTAGAGTCGCAGAATTTGTTTACAATATGCATTTTATTTTTTTATTTTATTATTTCCAAATCTACATTCCAGCAATAATTTGACTTTAATGTAAGAAAATTTCTGTAGTTTAAATTAGTTACTTTTAGAATCAGAACTATATTATATATAATTTATAAAACCAAATTAAATTTTATTCATTATACTGGTAAATTATAAAATGAATGAGAGAAGAAGATATTATTTGTACTAATAACATTTATGAATATTATTAAAAACTATTTTCAAATTCAAATAAAATATTTTCAATTTTTTTTTCGTACTCTTTGAAATGTTTACATAATTTGCTTTCTGTTTGGGGTATTTAATATTTATTGCTATGAAATGATATTCAATAGTTTATTTTCTATTTCTATTGAATTTCGAGTGTGTATACAAATTGTTTACAGTGCATTTGTAGTTGGTTGAATTATTTATGCAACCACTGCACATTTCACACCTCTGGCTGTCTA